ACTTACTTACTTACTTACTTACTTACTTACTTACTTACTTACTTACTTAGTTACTTACTTACTTACTTTTACTTACTTACTTACACTTACTTACACTTACTTACTTACAGTTACACTTACTTACACTTACTTACACTTACTTACTTACTTACTTACTTTTACTTACTTACTGTTTTTTTCCAGTACTTTATAGACTTCCGCTAATTTTACAAAGGAGTTATTATGTAGCCATTTCTAAAACATGCACAGCAGAATATTTACATAGTAAATGATAGTATCAAAAAACAATCTTCAACAAAATGTAAATGCAAATAAAACATCCAAGATCCCCACCCATTTGTCATTTCTTCCTGTAAAAAGGGAGTTTTTCCTCTCCGTCTGATGCTCAGGATGGGAGACTGTGACGAAGTGATTGAACACAATCTGCTGGCGTCTTTATATTTTTTTTTTCGTGTACAGTGCCCTGAGATGACGTATGTTGTGACCTGGCGCTGTATAAATAAACTGAATCAAATTGAATTGTCAGTTATTTGGGGGTGGCACCTGGTGAGAGGTGGCACCCCAGCCACCCCTCTGGCTCTGCCCCTGCTTTGAAATGTAACAAACCAACTTTCTACGAGCTGTTTCATCAGTGAGTTGTCGTGGATCATATCTGTTTAAACCAGTTCATGTTTGGGTTCTTCTCCCTTCAGACTCCAGCAGTGCTGTGTAGAAATAAGTCAGGCTGAGTAAACAGGAATCATAATTCATTCATGTGGAAAAGTGAACACCCCAGCAGCTCTGAAACAAAGATAATTAACCTGATAACAAATTAGTGCCTCCCTGCATATTTTATGTCCTGAGAATTAAGTAACGGAGTGTATTATAATGATTACATTTTTTTTAGCCCTCCGACATAATTTGCATCTTTCACACGCTGCTGAAATATTCATCTCTTGATCAGGAAAGTTGTTGATTAAGTTGGAGGGGCTGCAGTTTAAGACGACTGACTCACTCACTGCATCTGTCTTCAAACATAAAATGTCCAGTTTTAGAGGTGAGAGCTGTGTTTTTGGTCTCCTGGGAGCAGCTGGCAGTGTGACATCAAAGCTGCAGCCTAGATGTTGTTAGCAGCTAATTCCATCAAACAGTGGAGCAGCTCAGGGCTTCAGCATCGGTATCCATTATTACTGCCTCCATATTTAGCAGCGGTTTCTGAATTGATGATGAAGCACTCGACATGATGCAGGGGACCATCTCAGACTCATAAACATGAAGGACGTGTTTGACAGCAGAGCAGCACTCTGAAGGACGGGCTGGCAGACGTGCAGTTGGCTGTGAGATGACAGTCTTGATTTGCAGTTCAGAGAAAACAGCTTGTCACGTTCTGACGGATGGTCTGATGGGTGTAATCGGGCTTTTTAAATCCTGACCTCCTTCTTGGATGTTTAGTTTTATTGTGACGTGTTTATGTGAAGCTTTTATCTGTGAGAAGTGTTGCTAATCCAGATGGTGGCGAATCATTGAGTGTGTGTTGGTTTTAGTGATTTATCTCAAAAACAAAAGATCCAAACAGCCATTTGATCAACCTGAATCGGATCAGTTTGTGTTTTTATGCTCTGGTTTGCTGCAAATTTATCAGCCTCCACCAAGAATGGTACGAGTCACCAAGTGTAAAATAAAATGTCTCTAACAAGTTATCATGTGTAAGATACTAGTTAAAATATATTTTGTTATTTAGCTCACTGGTCTTATTTGAATAATTTTTACCAAATGGTAAATGTCATGTCTAAATGCTAAATGCTAATTAAATCTTAAATGTTGCCGCTAATGTATGGGGTGCCGTTTGTAAAGTTACATAGTCAAAAATTACCACCAATATTTTTGTTTTATTTAGCCTTTTATAAGAAAAAAAGAACAGATTTATTTTTCAAAGTCAGTTTTTCACTATATGATTCATACATTTATAAAGGTCATTGTTTGTAAATTAAATA